ACCAGTATATTCGCACGTAATTCAGGAGAAATGATAGATACTACAATCTTGACCACAGATTGCGAAGTACAGCACAACAAGACCTAAAACGTTCTTTTACTAAAACACCCAGAGATTTAACCCTACCCGTTAGTGATAACCTGCCTGGTCTGTTTACTGTCCACGGTATCTCGGCGTGAAATAACTCACGTAGGCAGGAAAGCGGTGCAGCCACCGACTCGCGTTAGATGACAATGGATAAAAGAGCATTCGGTTCAGTCTAAAAAGTTTCTCATATCCTCGAATAAGACCCACTTTGTATGTACCATATTGAGCTATTGGTTGTTAAAATCCAGAATGACTTTTGTGTCTACCATGGCCCGGACAGGGATGGTTTTGGGACCGAGTTTACCTCGGAAAGCCTGAATCCGCGATAAACTATGCTATGGAGCTTCTGCAAACAATATCTTCCACTGTCCTCTGCCGTACACCAATTCCTACTTTTCCTGCTCTTTCAATTAGCCTGTGTTTTCTCTTTACGCCCAACTCGGCATGTCCGATATTTCCCTGATTTTCACACACAGTCACAACATATCATCAATATAGACGGCCCACACATTTCCTACCTACTTGCTGTCTGAGTGCATTAGCTGTATCGTTCACTGCCTGTCGCTTGCCTAATATGGGCAGGCAATTTGGTGGGATGCCTATGATACCCCTTAAAATACTGGTCGTTCTCGTTTGTCATTCTCAAGTGAAAATATTTTCCGTACAAAATAATACCTGTATCGGTAACTCAAAAAAAACCGAGGATTTTTGGAGCAGATCTCCTTTCGGAAAGTTCAACTAAGAATGTTGCTCTCATAAGTGAAATTCATTGGTTCGAGTAATAGTTCCTCAGTATGAGGGCGTTATCGAGAACTACCTGGAGATTTCCAGATGCTTGTGGATTCGCTCCGACCAAATGAGGATAGCAAAACTTATTTTAATGTGGCACTTACGAGCGACACAAATAGTTATCAGCCGGTAGAACGTGCACGTACTAGTGAAGAAGTCTGGCAATCTGGCTGTCTAACCTCGCATCGGTGTCGTCCAGTGTTTTCTTAATGGAATGTTTACCGCACAAAAAAACGCCAGTGAACACATGCGCAGATTACTTCTAATCAATTAATTACACATAACAGCACCTTCAAAAATGAGACGTGGGTCTTGCACACAGTGCGTCTTTATTGTTCCCCGTGAGCTTTCTCAAGTTTTTTTCAAAATGTAGTAAACCCAATACGGTCAAAGTATATTTGACAAGGTTGAACTTTTGTCTACCAAGTGACATGAATGTGTGCGATTTGAACCCAGCTCGGTGACAGTTTTCTGTAGGGGAATAAAAGATTAAGGGATACTTAAGAGTGAACTGGCAATCGTTTTAAGACGAAAGGTCACTACTGCCTGATGAACCTTGAATTAGAACAGAGAACTAGTGGACCTGCTCCAAACTATCAGTAATCTTTCTGTGTTTCAGGAAATGGAAAGCCTGCCCAGTTTTTCAAACCACAAGATGTAGTTTCGGATGACTGTGTGGTAAATAAATGGCTCGGTTTGCATAGACCCTTAAAAACAACCTTCTAACAAGATGCTCGTACAGTGGAATACCGCTGGTCTAGATACAACATTCTTATAATAATAGGTCTTTACATGGACCTACTCGGAAAAAAACACTTATGTTTCTCTTCATGCGTTTGCTTTAGACTCAGTTTCACACTACTTGACTATCCGCGCATGTTCACCTAAGCGAGGACTCGGGCGAGATGACTAAACCAATACATTCCTGAAAATTGCTGAACATAGAATGCGCATTTATAATAGGTACTTCGATTCAACCGGTCATAGGAGCTAAATCCATTTAGGGAAACTAGGTGAAAGCCGTCTTGCTTAGCGTTCCTCTGGGTCGTTATGGGCCACCTTACATCAATAACAGGGGAAAATTCATTCGCCAACGGTGGTGATAATTCAAATTTTAACAGGTTAGTTGTTTCTAAGACCGATGGTGGTGTGAGAAGGCTTGGTGGTTTTTAGTCGAGATTTCAGCCTGCTAATGAAATCAGTCTATGCTGAAAAGACGAGAAAAATGTACAGCTGTTTTATCCTTTCTGAGATTCGTCATCAGTGAGCCTATCCAGAAGCCTAACCGAGGGCGGTCGATCACCGGTGTGTTTAGCTCTCACCCAGAAAGGACAATCATACTCCAGTAGTGTAAACCACATTACGTGACCACGTATTCACTGACCACTCGAGTGACGATATCTCAGAAAGGTGCCTCACACACCCAATGGAATTTGCTCTTTTCCCGGGTTAATTGCAGCCTGGTGGAAGTGCGAGGAGATTCGGTTTCATTTTCTTAAAAGTATAGCGTGAAACATTAATAGTCATGAATAAAAATTGGCAACACAAATGGATTTTTCTCTGTATGACGAACGGACTTCTAATGATAGTAATAGAGAGGGAGTAATAGAGGTTCCTGTACATTGCTTTCTGATATTTCTAGCGAAGGTTACTTCTAGAGTACCCAAAGAAGCCTTGGTTTGCAACTGCCAGCTATCAGTAACAGCAAACGGTAACCTGAATACTTACTGTTCCGGAGGGCAGTTGACATTTTTGTGGAAGATGATGCATATGCACGAATGAAGCGTCGTATTAAAGACTGGTCGGAATGGCAAACCTTGCTAGAACTAACGTTAGCTGTTTGTATTTGGTGTTTTAAGAATGGATGACTATCGGAACTAATGGAAAATGGTCAGCTGGATACGCTAACTTTCGACAGTGTTACAGTAGGGTAGGATGATTATCGTAAGGCATGTTTTGCATACTAGACTGGAGTTAGCTGGAGCGTCTTACGTCCTATCTGATTGGTGTTTTGTGCTCCTAATCGACTCAACTGCCCAAAGCAGCGAGTTCTGAGCGATTCACTCTATATGCCAGTTTGGATGATATGCACAATACATATCGACAAATAAATAAGGCCTGACAGTTTCCCACAACAATGTAACTAATGTCGCTAGTGAGAGATCGTTACTCAATATAAAGCAAAAGATGTTCCGTTCTAACTTGTTACGCAAGTAATAAAAATACATGAATGGACGCGCTACTCGCCGAATGATGTGTGGGATTTTTTTAAACTGACTGTAGACTCAAACATTTTAGTATTGCTTGAGGAAATCCACAAACTAAAGAGGAAGTGAGTTGGTGATTATGGAGTTATTCGAACAGTTTTATTGAGAAACATCCGACTATGTTGTCAGGTAAACACAACCCAAGTGTGCGTCTGGATTAGTGTCGAATCGTAATGGATTCGGGACAACCAAAATGAAAATACTATACAACGGTTAACAGTACATCTATCGTTGTTTAAACAGCATTCAGAACAGCTTTGCCCGCGACCGAACGATTTGGTATGCAACTGCTGTAAGTAGGATCAAAACTCCAAAGAGTTTCGAGAAACGCTCAGTACTGATTAGTCGCAATAAGGATGAAACAGCTCTGCTATGCTTCACGGCTTTTCGGCATGGTTTAGCTTTACTTGTAGGAGAGAATCTGTCGATTGTAATTTTGCTTACCGGAAGAATTACTGACCGTCGCTTTAAATGAATCTGCTTTCCGCATCAAAAATGATGCGATCACATCACTATTGTCCGGTGTAAAACGGTGGTGGTTGATTGTACCGTAAGCACTGCTTTGTCCTAAATTATCAAAATTTTGGAATGAGGCTTAAATAGAACACAGTACTTCTGGTGTACTGATGCGTGGGTCATCTCCTGAGAGGTTCCCTAGGCGAAAAAGGAGAGATGTATGTTTGTAAAGTAAAGTAAGGTAAAGCAAATACAGGTTGAACGTCACATGTTATTTTTTCTATAGAGGAAAATATCGGTAACTCAGGTAGCGTAGATGGTTGTTGGTTTGTTCGCTGAGCTGGGAAATTTGATTGCAAACGTTTCATCGCCAATCGAGGTGACATCATCATTGAGTTATTGGGGAGCGTAGTTATGCGTAGCGGTGGGTTATTGCGTTGAGTAGTGTTACGTGTGTGTTGATATACATGCCGGTAGCCGGGGATGACTTTTGACCGCGATTACTTATTCGGTCGGGCAGTTCGATTGGTTGTTCTTTTATCCCGTGTCCTCGTTCACCGATGCCCATGTGCCTTTGAGCTTGGCATCCCTTGCCGTCGTAGTTTGGTCGATGTTGGGAGTGATCTTGTCCTTCCGAGTTCTGGCTTGTGAACTTTATTGAGTTGACCCCGAGAAGTTCCTTGTTTCTTCGTTTGTGAATCGAATATTCGGTCTTCTTTGAGTGTTCCGGTTGCGACGTTGGTCTTTTGCACTTAGAGGTGCGTAAATTGGATCCATTTCGACGCACCGGCTGATCGATTCTGCCGTGGAGTACCATTCTTCCAGAAATTCTCTTCCGTGTCGCCCGTCTCCGTATGCCAAAATTTTCGCGTTTTCCAGATTGAACTTGTGGCCTTCCCGGTCCTCGTGTATAGATATCAAAGACAGGGGGTCATGCCTCCTGACAGCCACGTTGTGTTCTTTTATTAGTGTACATAATTTTCTCCCAGGTTGTCCAACGCGAATAACTAATCGCGGTCAAAAGTCATCCCCGGCTACCAGCACGTATATCAGCACACACGTAACACTACTCAACGCACTAACCCACCACTACGCATAACTACGCTCCCCAGTAACTCACTGATGATGTCACCTCGATTGGCGATGAAACGTCTGCAATCAAATTGCCCAACCCAGCGAACAAGCCAGCGACCTCACGTTATTTTCTTTAGTCCAGGCACAAATATCAGCTGATGTAATATAAATGATTGCCACTGCCTACCATCACAGTATGGCGGGGCTATGCGTTTGGCCAATTTTTAGGTCAAATCCCCAGGATTATTTGTATTTAGGGGACATACGCTTATTCCAAATGGTTAAGAGAACGCCGTTCCCATTTTAACCTAACTAACCGGTTTTTGTTCAGTATTTCCAACCAAGTACAAGAACCCCACGTGAATGTCGTGTGATATCCAAGGTACAGTTGGGGTTACCAAGGACATTCTTTTTACGTACGCCCTTCGTATATCTCACATGTGCACAAACTGTGACATAAAACAAAGGTACAATCAGTTCAAGGTTACTTTACGCTAAATGTAGATAGGATGCAAGACAAATAGTGAAGAGTAAGTGGGCACTTTGACGCTTGTAGCTATCGGTTAGCTCATGAAATGAAAACAGAAAAAAGATATTTATCCAAAAAGTAGGAAGTTACGACTTGAGCCAATTCCAAGCAGGAACATACATTTCGTGTGATAATGGTTGTCTTTAGATTTTCCGCTAGATATATTGTAGGGGAGGCACTCAGGTTGCCTTAGATTTTTACAATATGGCCATATATTTTAGCCAGTTTTAAGGAGCTGTGTAAAGAATTTCCATTTTAAACGGATTGCTTCGATAGAATCTCGTCTCGTAATCATAGAGAATAAAGGGGAACTGATATTTTTCAGCCAAGTCAGTTTCAAATTCTTTGATCTCAATTTTCGGTGACAAGGCGGGGTCAAGTTGTCGAATAGTAACCCTCCTGTTGTTTCCAAAGCCAGCTGGCACACAGCGTTGGGATACACTGGTGGCTACCCGATTGTTTCCTCTGGGTTTACCTGGTGTTTCGTAGTGATCAGATGAGCGAAGATCGTACTGATCAATTGCTTGATTACTCAATTTTTATATCACTTTTGTTTATACTCACGAATTCTCCCGGATAAGCTCCATGTTGTGAGCTTTCAATGTGCACCGATGAGCATTGCAAGTGTTTGGAAGAACAACACAGATCAAGTGTTGTTCACCATAGCTGAAGCATATAAAACATGAGCGGTATCCATGGATTAGATGAAACGTAACGGCCATCAAAATAAAAGATATCCACCCTCTGGTGCCATCGAAAGCGGGGCTGCATATTGCACCGTTTTCAATTAAGCGGGGCTGTTACCCTTAAAGTGGTATCACCTCATAGTGACCACTGTTCTAATAATGATATGTTGCCCTAATGACGTGGAAATTTGTATATACTGTATAAAATTCACGGTGCGGAAAGGCCACTCCGACACCCCTATGGCGAGGAGTCTGAGAGGGCCAAAATTACCCTCTGATACAGGCAACCTACCAGCTTTCCCCTTTGCCTAATCTGAAATTCATATCCGTGGCTGGTTTGGAAAATAGTGCGTTGTACAAGTAACATAATCATGAGCAATTTATGGACGTTGAATACAACCTACACGTGACCTACACACTCAGGCTTAACCTTGTTACTGACTGACCGCCAAAACAGGACAGTAATCGAGGTGGATTTCTCGGATCAGGGGCTGCGCATGTTCAACGATGAAAGCACTGAACCTAGCCCTCTGCTTTCGACGCAAGTCAGGCTAAGAAACACACTTACAATCCTCATTTTACGTATCAATCTGTCGTTACGCTCCACTCCGTAGAATATGCATTTCTTTACTAACGGCGATTTCCGCAAAACGCTGAAACTCCAGAAGGAGACTTGAACTCATTGAAAGAGATAAAGAGCTCGGTTTAACGAGGCCCAACGCCCCATGCGCTTACTTAATTTCAGCTCTTCTTTTCAGCTTGGTAAATGTGCTGGCCAATTTAATGACACTTGTGCGTAGCTGGAGATTATCGGTGAACACACGGAGTGTGGGGCAATTCTGCATAAATTCCAAAGCGGGGTTGTATACGTAGAGCGAACTTCCATCGAGTTATTTCCCGGGCACACAAAAGCTCAGCGTGTCCCTAGTCTTCTGCTGTCGGCCTTCTGCTGTGTAGTAGCAAGACCACGTGAGCAAGATTGATCAGTTTGACAATAGCTGTCAATTTCACCTGGCTTGCTGGCAAGCGATCCAGTATCTACCGCCATTTTATTTCAGGCCAATTATCGGAGCCTATCGAAGAATAAAACGGATGTTGTGGGAATGAACAAAAAACAGCAAGATATATGATCAACTTATCGCAGCTCTATTGTAACGTACGTACTAAGTGTTCGAAAACAAAGGTGTGCTTCAATAAACACCGACGTACTCAGACAGTCGTAGATGAATGTGAGAGCTCAGGTCGTTGTGCAGTTGACTGAGCTGGGGGATCGGTGCAACTGGCGGATTTGTATATTGCTACAAAAAGTGACCACAGAATTCGGTATGATTCGCTGTCCTTCTCAAACCGGAAGACTTCATCTGAATGCCTAAAAGTCACTTATGGCATAATTATGGCAAGCCACCGATCGATGGTGTTAGAAGTGTGGGAGCTCCGATAAACAGATGAAATCCAGGATTGTGGAAATATCGATTCTCCCTCATATGGATCACCCTCTTGAAGGACTCATTTCTTTGCCCACTAGGCGGAGATTCACCAGGAGACCCGCCAGTATATATAGATAAAAATGACAGCCCAACATGATAGAGAGGCGAAAACCGGATGGCTATCATTTTAGGTATTTTAGATCCTACGGTCAAAGTCTCCGCCCTCAAAAAAGTGCTAAAATGGTTCTTTGTACTGATATTTTAGGCATATGAACAAATCTAAGTTCTGACTGAATCTAAATTTTTCAGAATATTTGTGACTAGCTTCTTCTATGGACAGATGCACTTGACCCTTGAGCAGGGTCAAGTGATGGAAAAGTGATGCCCTAAACTACTGTCACCCCAAAAATAGTTTTTCTTATTTTGTTCAAGTGCAGCACTTCTGTGTTATGAGTAAGTAGTAGACGATTAGGCTCGCCTGTCTGAAGGGTAATCTTACTAGCGACAAACAGCGCAGTTGTTGATCAGGTGGCATTCGGTCTTTTCACCCGAATTGGCAATTGGCTTGAAAACATTTCGCCGCCATCACGCACCCAACTCCACACTGACGCCGTGTCCTTGAATGGTGGCGAAACGTTTGCAAGCTAGCCGCCAAGCCCAGCGAGCAGATCAAATGCCACCCGATCAACAACCGATTTGCACTTTGTTACTGCTGTCGGTGATTCACAACTAGACAGTCAGCTATACCCGAACTTTATTATCGATTGGTTCTGGATTAAATACCATTCCGGAAATATGCTTGTACACCCGATGATGTAGCTGCATAGCTGGTGTCCGGAAACAAGTGTGTTTGCTGCTCAGAAGTTTCTCGACGCGTACTTGGACAGAACCATCACATTTATCACTGCGTATGGTAAAAAATGTTCATTAAATTTATTTTTCATCGCAAACGAACCTGTTTACAATTCAGTTAACTTTTCGATGAGGCGACACATTTTTGTTGCACTGCGTCGTTCCGTTAACAGTAGTGGAATTATAGAGTCCACCTCAGTGTTTCCACTAGTAATAATGCATTGCGAAATTCAAGTTAGTATATATGGGATCCAACAATCTTAACATCCCTGACGATAACTGCTAAGAACGATCAGTATTCACATTCATATCACACTCGTTTGAACAATCCTTCTTCTGTCTCGGCGCAATTATTCCGATGCGTTTACGTTACACTTTGAACGCGCTTCTTCGGGCGCTTCAAAATTATTGTTAGGTACACTTTGATATTCCATCGAGATATCGAAAATACCGACAAGGCTCAATCAGCAAAAGTTCTAGTGCCCTCAAACACCGGTCGGACTCTGTCACAGTCTGCCACAGACCGTCACTGTGAAGTGCAAAGGTCCGTGCACCAAACAACGGCGAGCGGAATGTGGGTTCTGTAGTGTGAGTTGCGGTCGTCCCATCCGAGGGCGGTCTGGTGATTCTGACTAGCGGTGCCATCGCATGGAACTCATGACAGATCAGATCAGGGCAGGCTCAACAAAAGGGGAAAGAACACGCACGGTAAAGTAGGTCAGGGGACTGCGCCTACCTGATGAGCCCCATGAAGGGCGAAACCGGTCGTGGGCTGTCGATGAATTTTCAGCAACCTTATGAGTAGTACACTACATAGGTCAGGGGCACATTCACTCACATACGCACGTGCTGCTGTCCCAGTGTCGGACGAGGTGGCCTTTGCGGAATGGTGAATGGGGGGACAACTGTAGATCAAAAGTAACTGGGTGATGTATGAGTAGTAACTACATAGGTCAGGGGCACATTCACTCACATACGCACGTGCTGCTGTCCCAGTGTCGGACGAGGTGGCCTTTGCGGAATGGTGAATGGGGGGACAACTGTAGATCAAAAGTAACTGGGTGATGTAAGCAAATGAATGGTGGAATCATCAGGATGTCAAGTTAGGTTCAATACTACCCGTTAGAATTCCTCCATGTAAAAGGAGAAGGACAAAGGGGAACTATGATCAATAGTACACTGAGTGAATGAGAGAAGGCTGTTAAGGCACAACGTTCCGTGTAAATACTCACATGAGAAACACCAATAGGTGCGCTGAGAAAATACTGACTTGTAGAGGAGTATTGGTGCACAAAACTGAAAGTTGGTATGATGCACTTCTTGGATGGCCGTCCGAACCAAGTACAGTATGCACACCAATTGGTACACCAATTGAAACTTAAAAAAGCTAAGGTACTCTGTAGATACTAGTCAAAATATGCATACCTTCCACTGAGGGATGCGCGGATTTGGTATAGCATACTGTATCCATGATGGGTGGAACGGCCTGCTCACAGGCATTTAGTGGGGTGCACCCACAAGAACCGCAGACTGACCGATGGTTATCCTTTTGTGGGGAGACTTCCTCATTGTTAGTTATCGGACAGCACCCCATGTAGCAGTAGTTTTCATCCTCTTCTGAGATACTGGGAACAGATGCCGCTTCCTCAATCCAGAAGCTAAGAAAAATAACAGACTTCCGTTTAGGCCTGTGTTTCTGTTTCACCAACTGCCGTTTCTGGTGCAAGTTCCGAACCTCCTAGTCCAGTTCATCCACTTTCCCCGCAATTGCACCGGTATAGCTAAAGTCTTCAGATCAGAGTTATGCAACAAACTAGGAGATAGTGCTTTATCTAATTGGGCCTAGAATGCCGGAACGAACCTATAGTGAGACTGCAAGTGTGATGCGGTGTCAAATAGATCGGGTTTTGAGTGAGTTTAACGCTTTTACGATGGTTTTTAACCAAGTCTTCTATTCCGAACCACTTTTTATTTTACATTGTCCATGCTATCAGTGGTATGGGTAATCTGTTACAAATTGTACAGCAAACGTGTAGAGCTTGCCTGCCCACGAAGCACATGAAAAGCTTCCAGCTGTCCCCCCTGGTTGAAACTTCATGCAACTTGGATTCAATAAACATGCACATAAAGCATATTTATTGAGAAATAACCTCCGTCTACCCGTTCTGGGATGCACAACCAATGTAAAGGTTTAATTGAGGCAGAACAAAATAAAAAATCTTCTTTTATGGTCTAGGATAATGTAATGTGAAGGAAATCGCCAATCATTCAGATAAGAACCCCTTGACTAGTGCATTTTACCTAAATGCAAACTTCAAGGAATTTTTGAAAGTCAGCTGGGAAGGGATGGTTAGACTTGGAAGCCTGGCCCACACAGCCCCCGGACCAATCAGCTTCAAACGTTGTAAACAATAATCAGTGATGGGATAAGATGAAAAGGGGAAATACAATAGTTTGGTTGCCCGGTGACGTCAAGATATGATCCCAAAATGCAGCTAATCAACTGATTTGGCGTCTCCCAGTTGTATTATTTCTACTCTAATAATATGGTTTTAAAATTTCGTGCATGGTTTTACCACTCAGCACAGAATAGTTTTTGGTAAACTTGGATGATTTGGTGCGATAACTCTAGGCTTTTACACAATATTCATAGCTTTGAGAGTGATTTGAGGAAGTGTTGAAGAAAACAATCGTCGTCTTCGTGAGTATTTGTCAGCCTGGTGCAAGCGGTTTTGGGAATAATCGAATTGGTGATCGTTGCGACATATTTACTTTGGATCGTGTATTTATGTCAAATCGATAGAGGTTAGAATATCTGCAAGAAATCGATAGACACGCATTCCATCCGGCACACCGCGATAGACTGATACGACAGGTGCGTCTCGAATGTCACTTTTTTTAGAACTATCATATTTATGCTGGTCTGAAAATGCCAGCTGCTAGAAGCAAAGACAGTCAGTTTTTCGATTTGAACCGGGGGACAGGACGAAAATTCCTAGCCCAAGACTATCAAGCCGGCTTTGGTGATCCCAGAACAAACTAGAAAGAGCGATTTATCACTTTTTGACGAAACCAGCGTTTAAATGGAGACACATCCAAAATTGATATACTTATTTATTTGAAACTTCAAGGTTCTCCGTCTGAATTTTCTGCACCATCACGGATGAGATCTTGTGCGCATAAAAAACCCACCTTGGACCCTGGAAATGTCTAGCGCAGAGCGTGTTGCACTACGAATAATGCAGTGAAACCTGACCAATTAGCACATAGGAAATAAATGTAGCTATGCAGCCGAGCTCCGCAGAGATTTTGTGACTACTGAACCTTAGTTGACCGGAAATATCTCTAAAAGATCGTTTAAACTTGTGATGATAAGTCGTAGGCTAAAAGCCTCGACACCACGATGGTGACCAATCATTGGTTGCCGTGAAACATCGTTTTGTTCCACACATTTGCGAGCAAATTTTACCATAAGCTTGTGACAGAAATGTTAATCGGCTGCAAGGTGTCGTCGGGTATGTTACTTGAAAGGTCCATTGTGGTTTGGTTGACTAGGGGAGCTATAGAACTCCCTCAGTCATAGTTACACAAATGTATCAATGGACAGATTGCTGACCGTTTCGTCTTTGAATTATTACAAAGAGCTGCTTCACAAGCAACCACAACTTGCCTGGTCAAAATGTGTGCTGTTTACTCAGTTAGGTCTGTGAATTTCAGCATATTTCTTGGATCATGACTTCAATGGAGAGAGGAAACATTTCCTGCGGGGTGGTCTCGTCGCATTCATCAACTGGTAAACAGATGGATATACGAGTAGGTGGATATATATATATATATATATATATATA